TATTGCTTTTGCTATTATATAGGGGGATATAGGGCGAAAAAAACGAGCACAGACGATCGGCGGGCTATGGAGCCGCCGGTCTATATGTGAAACACCCAGTAACGGGTGTTTGCATTGGTCGCGTCTTTTCTGCCCGTGCGCGCCCGCTAGGGGGCCCGCGCGAGCAGAAAAAACATGCCGTCGGGAGACGGCAACCCGCCAATGCAGCAGTGCCGTCCATCCGTTTTTTTACAACGGGCGGACGGCAAGTGGTTAAGCTATGCAATTACCAGTGAAGGTTTACATGCTAGTGCAAGAAAGTTGATATCAGGATACAGATTAGTGGATCCAGCTACTTGTGATATCTCTGCAAAGCCTTAAATAACTGTACTTATTCAGTCCTCTGCACAGTAATTATTAGGCTACCTACTTTTGAATATATGAAACATTTTTACAGTATATTGTTTGATGTAGGAAGAGCTTTGTGCCCAATTTTCAGATACCAATTATACAGTTTGTGCTTAGAACAAAGGGTATTAAGGTCTCTTTCCATATCCCAAAAATAAGATTATTTATCATTTTAGGATAGTGAGTGGAGCCAAGCAAATCACTGTTTTATGCCCTAGCCAGATGCACATCTAGAATTCTCAAAACCTTTGGAAATGTGATGGAATGAAATCTGAATGCATTCTGTTCTAAGAAGGATCTACAATGCTACGCACCAATTTGGTTATACGGTAGGGGGTTTGATTCCTTTAGTTCTTTCTCACCATAACCTGCATGGTTATACTGTCTCGTTGAGTCCCAAGCTCTACACCATAGAAGCCATAGTTTCCATACACAGCACTGGTGATGGCCATAAAGCCTGAAACAGCAGTATGCAATTTGGAATATATGGCTCTATACTATTAGGCTATATGTGCACTATACACCAGCGGTTCTGGATGTGCAACTCACTCTCGGGGTGTAAATCAATGGTTTGCATAGCTGCCCACACTGCTAAAATGAGGAATAGTTTTATTTTTGGGATATATGATGGAATGAGACATGGTAATACCTTTTGCTTTAAGACGGCTTTACTGTGCTACAAGCTAGTTCAAGCGTGAAAAATAGAACATGTAAAACAGTTACCAATTAAAAAAATAAAATAAGTTGACTGAAAACAGCGACCATCATTTGTAAAATGTTTAGGCTATGATAACGTGTGTGATACAGTAAGGTGTGTTAATGTCCTTCTTTCTGCACCTTTACTGCGGTGCCAAGCAGAGCACTTCTTCTACAGGGTGAATGTTAAATCATGTAAAATGCATCTAAAAACAGACTGCACTGCAATTGTATGAATACTAAAGGGAAGTGAACACAATTACCAGTTGCAATAATGTGCTTGGCACACAGAGAAATTAATATTAAAACGCCAATTTCAACCTGTTGGATGTTGTAAAGGGATTTCTGATATCAGTCTATTGTTAAAGAAAATGTCAGCCATGATATGTATTTAAGATAAAGTTTAAGCTGATAAAATCTTGCCTTCCCTGAAAACCCCACAAGTGCATGGCCAGATTAAGCCTAACTGAAAAATGACGGGTATATCCTAAACGACTCCCAAGAGTAAAAGATCAGTTCTTTGGTGTAGACCTAAAGATATGTATCTCATGAATCGCACTAACACAATGGTACAGAAGATAATTACCTTTTCTTTTTTTGAAAGATAGAACATAACATCTTCATAAATCTCCAGACGGTCACGCTCAGAAATTGCATTCCAGACATCTAGCTCTGAGAACATCTGCTCTGCTTTTCTGATAGGCAGAAAGAAAGATACAATAAATAAGATGATACAATTAAAACAATGCTGTGAAGACAGACAATAGAGGACATGAAGTCTTACTTGTATCGGGTGGTCGAGGTCATCTTGTCATGGTTTTCTAGAAACCTTTGGTAACCTTCTTTAGCCTCTTTGTATTTTAGCCTGGCTTCCTCCTTCTCTTCTTTCTCGGTCTGTACCTTGTAAGCATTAAATGCCTGTTTCTTCTCACTTAGCTTTGTCAGTGCACTATAGAGAGAAAAAAAAAAATGTTTGGATCAGATAACATATTACCTGAAGAATATTCATTCATTCTACCAGATTCCTAATAAAGGGATTATTCCAGGGCATCACAATTCACTCCAAACTTTATACTGTTTATGGGATGGGAATCAAAAACATTCATGTGTATAAAAAGAACACCAAAGATCGAACTGGGCTTCCTACTCTGAAATAATTTTATTTTACAAGTTAACAAGTAATATTTGCATATTATTTATGGAAACAAACTATATTAGAAGAATAAGTTGTTTGATCATCAGTGTGCATTTTATTCATAAAGTTTACTTATATATGTGTTTATTTTATTTTTTTTACCTCCAATTACATTCTAATGTTTTTAAAATGTCACAAATACATACTATATGGCCAAGCATTTGTGAATACCTGACCATCACACCTACAAGAGCTTGTTGGACATCTCTTCCCAAAACCATGAAGGGTTGGCTCGCAATCTGTGTTCTAATTATTCCCAAATGTGGTCAGTATGAGTAAGTCAGGGCTCTGAGCTGGCCACTTGAGCCACTCAACACAAAGCTCATGAAACCATACGTTTATGGAGCTGGCTTTGTACACAGGAGCACAGGCATGCTGGAACAGAAAAGGGCCTTCACCTCACTGTTGCCACCAGGTTGAAGTGCACAGTTCTCTGAAGTGTCTTTGTATGCTGTAACAGTCCCCTCCACTGGAAACACCTGAACTCAATTTGGAAAGGGGTACACATACCTTAGCCATACAGTGTAGGTGTGATGGTCACGTCTACAAACTATAAGTTATCTGAAGAGGAAATGTATCAGAAGTAATTTATTTTAGCCATTATTTGTATAACTGATGGGACAAAGCTGTGCAGAGGTAAGACATACACAGTTAGGCTGGAAAAAAAAAAAAAAAGGACGGACATGTCCAACCTAACTCCCATTCAAGTACGTTTTATCTTTACCTATTAAGCACTGTGAACAGGGTTTAAGCTGGAGGCAAGAAGAAACTAGATAGACAAAAAAAATGAAAATTCACAATAAAACATTCCATATTTACCCAACTAAAAAATTAATTTAGTCCTGACAATAAGAAAATATAGATATACCCAACAAAAGTTGCCTTACATTTTTTTTTTACAAGTTTTGAAAAAAAAAAAAAAAAAAATAACCCATTTGCTATATCTGAATATCAAGATCTGATTCTACATTATAGTTACCTGTATCTTGGATCATTAATGACCATTTTCATGGCTTGTTCCCAGGAAGCAGTGGACGGCACGCGCTGAAATGAAAACAAAGTAAAATTTGAATAATGGTTGCCACATCAATATTGGCCTGCAGCTATCTTGCCATGAAAATAAAGGCCAACACTGTATAACCGACAGTAACATAAAAACAGTCAAATAAAGCCATCCTAAATTGTTCGGTATTGTTGAATAGCTTCCAATATGCCAATGAGAAAGATGAATGTGTACCGGTTACCTATAATACTAGGAAGAAGCAGCAGGCTGGGCTAATCATTTCAAGAAGGCATTCCAACCATTCATTAGGAAGGGGTTTCAATGTCCTAGCAAGCACAAGTGAAGTGACTTCATAAAGAAATAGGCAGATATGCTGCCCAAAAGTTATTCTAGGTAAATCCCATTTTTACATTGCAGGAGTTGTGTGTTGAGTAGAAGTCAATCTTGCACATTTGAGCACTACATTTTTGCCCCATCATTCCAGAGGAAGTGACTTCTATGGCATCTCATGTGCTGACCAGGACTATCAGCCTGCACAGAGAAGATCTAAGAACAGTACTGGCAAGAACAAACAGACTGCATGGAGGAGGTCTGGGAGCAGTATTGGTTAGGATGGAGTCAGCAAAGCACACGCAATACTTTAAAAACCCAGTGGATGGGGCACTGGCTTACATACCTGGCATGTCAAAATATTTTTTACTTTTACATCTGCAGTAGTATATCAGTGATTAATGCAGACTGATCATAAAGGACACCAACTTTACTTTGACTGCACAAGTCCTAAGCAATAAGAAGGACTTCTCTTATGACAATTTTACCATTAAAAACGAACCCAGCCAAAGTTCAAAACTCTTTTTTTAAACCAGTATGATGAGAAAGGTACTCCTTCTAAAAATGTTGTAAGACTGTCATAAGCAACCAATGGCTTCAGTTCTTTCATGGACCAGATGCAGCATGTGGTGAGAGAGATGAGAATGCCTTATATGTACTGCAGATAAGCAACTGTACCCACCAGGATAGCCAAACAACTTGCAATTATTGAGAGGAGAGGTTAGCCATCAACAAAGAATATACAGAACAGTGGCAGATAAAAAAAAATGAAATACCTTTTCTTTAAGGAGTTCTTTGAACGCTTGCTTAGCTTCTTCCTTTGTGTTCCATATATAGGTCTTCTTAGGATTCTTTTCTTCCTCCTCTTCAACAGAAGCCGAACTGAAAGAAACAGAGTAGGTTTAGAACGCAATTGGCCTACATGAGCATGCAGAGAAATTGTAGCATACACACAGGTTGTTTACTCACTCTACTAGAACCTCTTGTTTGGCATATTCCTCTACAATGCCGCTGCTGCTGACTTCAGGATCTTTCTCTTGAATAGAAGACGACACAGAATGGGCTTGCTCTTCACCAGAGTCATTGACCATAGTCTCACAGTCTAATGCAGGTGTTGTGGGGGTGGACATGACAAGCTCTGCTTCAGCAGCTAATGCCACAGGAGCAGGTGTGGGTGTACTGGTCACCTCTACAGCAACTGGAACGGTGCTCATTTGTATGGGTGCAGGAGCAGGAGCCGGAGCTGTGGTTTCTTGAACACTGCAAGAAAGGCACAATTGAAGCAAAATAATAATGGTATAGAAAAGAAAACATTTTTGTGCACCTCCTTTTTTGGGGACAGATAGAGCTTTCTTTTGGTGGTATTTAATCACCACTACAGGTTTTATTTTTTACTATATTAAGGAAAAATTCATGAAAATGTTGAAAAAAAACCCCAAGGATTTTATTTTCCATTATGTTATGAAACATTTGGTAAAATATAAAAGACGGGGTCAAGTCGGGTAAATAGACACCAAACATGTCAAGCTTTAAAATTGCGCGCACCAGCGCAAAAAACTACCATACCCAAAATTGACCATAGGCGACGCTTTAAAAGCTTTTTACAGATCATTTAGTTCAGCGTTATCAGTGATTGATGGCCCTAAAATTATCGCTCACACTGTGGCGATATGCAACATGTGCGGCTTAATCGTCATTTTGGTGCGTATGTGCACCTGACGCATGTTTGCATGCCTTTATGTATGGGGACTTTTTTTTTTAAAAATTTAGTTTTAATTCTTTTTCATGTGACTTAAAAATCTTTTTTTTTCTCATTTTCCCCCCCACTTAACTTTGCCATCACACAGGGGGCTAAGAAACCCCCCTATGTGATAGCAAAGACATGTGACAGGTCCTCTTTATGAAGACATCAGGGGTCTCCAAACAGCTAATGTCACCTAGGACCCCAAAAGAAGCTGATGAAGCACAGATCTGCTTCATCAGCTTCTCTCCAGCTTCTGAAGCTGGAGAGTGACAGCAGAATGCATAAGTGATGTAATATACATCACTTCCACATTCGGACACCGGAGAGGAGACACCATCTCCCTCTGATTCCCTGTCACAGAGCCACCATGCTGGTCCAGGGATCGCGCCGGGCACAGCGGAGCCCTGGACAGTGGAAGGGGGGCGTGGAGGGGGTGTGCAAGCGATCCGCTGGCTCTATAAAGTGGGATGAAGTTTTGAAAAATGTCAGTTCAACTTGGGTGTCTTATTTTGCCCTGTCCTAGGATTCTTAGACTGTTTTATAAGATAAAGTAAGGGAAACATTTTTTCCCCTATGTATTGGTCTTTATATAGTGAATAATAATAAAAAAATAAAAAAAGGAGTTTTTGTTGGGACAGACAACCAGCAGAGGTAGTGAGCCAGTCAATAGTATGTACATTTTAACATGTTTGGGTGACACAGCTGACATTAGTGGGTTATTCAATACCACCAAAAGAAAGTTCGGCCTAAAAAAAATGATGTAAAATTCACTCAGGAACAGTGTAGCATGATGGAGTAATTGTCAGTCAAAGTGTCACAGCACTGAAATTGTCTGGACAGAATGGGGGTTTAACATTCCAGTATTCAAGAGGTTATGAAAACATAGAAAAGTTATACTTTGACAAGAAGTGAACAAAACATACCTGCTGCTTTCTTCAGCTTTAATTAACCCTGTAGAAGAGGAAAAAAAATGTTAAAGTGAAAAAACAAACTGCAATGTTTACTGTCAAGGGGGCTCCGTCGTTTACAGATTTATAATTCTGCCTTTCCCTGTTTGGCAGTGGGATAATTAAAAAAACAAAAACCAACATGATGCATGCCAACACAAGTGTTGCAAAGACTCTTTGTATAAAATATGTATACAAAGCAATTACCTTCCAGATCTTCTAGCTCTTTCGGTTTGGCCCAGCGAGACTCCTTTGTCTGGGAATTGTAGTAATATGGTTTTCCAGAGTCAGATTTAAACTCCTTCCAGGGACATTTGGATAACAATTGCTAATTGAAACAATAAAATAAAAACAAATATTATGTACACCAATGTTTCAAAATATATATATTTTTCCCCAGAAATTCTACTGTTTGGGAAAAGTCCAGTATGAAAAATATTAGGACCCAAGGAGAAAAAAAAAATATACATAGCTCCCGTGTCACTACATGTGGACAGCAGAAAAAAAAAACTCACCGCAGATCTTAAAAGTAGTATGTGTTTAGAAGTCTGGAGTCTGGCTACTGAGGGCCCTGTCACACCATCAGGGGAGCGTTCCAGTGCATTTGGCGTCTGAAACGCAACCTGGCCACCTTGATTTTTGGGGGGGGCAGGAGGGAGCTTGGCAGTGTGTTGAACTCAATGGCACTGCAGCCACGTGTCCCACCCACAGTGCGATCGCGTTGCACATTAGTGCCTGCGTTCCGGTCCAGTGTGATCTGCAAAAATAGTGTTTGCAGCATTTTTTGCAGATAGCACTGGAACACAGGCGTTCGGATGTTGGCAAACGCACTGCGAGCGCCCCCTCCCGCCCCCCAAAAAACTGAGCCGGCTGGGTTGCATTCTAGTGGCACTCCTGATGGTGTGACAGGACACTGAAGCCAGGCATGCACTGTTAGCACACAATTGGAGAGCTAGATGGTGTGACAGTGCTAGATTTGTTGCACAAGGTCAATAATTAGATCTTTACATGTGCCAGACTATTAGATGCAAAAGTTACTCAAGACAGTAAGGGCTCATGTACGCCATCAAGGCCAACGTGAATGCAAACCCAGTTCGATACAACTCATCGAGAAATTAAAAAGCAAATTGAAGGCACTGAAGTCAGTGGATCAAAGCATCTTAACCACTTGCTGACCGAGGTGTTCACACCCCCTTCCTATCCAGGCCATTTTTCAGCGCTGCAGTACTTTGACATTCATGCCGTCATGCCACGCTGTACTGAAATTAATTTTATATATTTTTTGGAGACAGATAGAGCTTTCTTTTGGTGGTATTTAAATCACCACTGGGGTCTTTTCTTTTTTATATATAATGAAATAAGTACCTAAAATAAAAAACACACACTGTTTTCCCTTTATTATGTTAGCAAACATTACCCAATTTTTTGGTAAAATATAAAAGACGGGGGTCAAGTCGGGTAAATAGGCACCAAACAAGTCAAGCCTTAAAATTGTGCACACCTGCGAAATTGCGCATAGGCGACACTTTAAAAGCTTTTACCACTCATAAGTTTAGCGTGATCAGCGATTGATGGCCCTAGAATTATTGCTCACACTCCGATGTTCGCGATATGCAACATGTTCGGCGAAATGACGTTTTTGAACGTCCATGTGGGGGTCTGGGACCTTAAAAATGTACATACAGGACTACATAGGGAAAAGATTTGGGGGTGCTTATTTCAAAGGATTGCAAAATGAGCAGTGAGGCCAAATAGTGGTGAAATCCAATAGGATTCTGGGGATGGATCACCGGCAGAGGAAGGAGGTCCTGATTATTAATTTATTGTTTAACCTCCTGCCATCCGCCCGTTAAGAAAAAACGGACAGACGGCGGACTCGCATCAGCGGGTTGCCGTCTCCAGACGGCATTTTATTTCCTGCGCACGGGCATGAGAGACCCGCTCGTTTTTACAGCCGTTAACGGCTGTTTCACATACAGCCGATCAACGGCTCTATAGCTGCCGACCAGTTGTATGGCGTGTTTATTTTCGCCCGATCATTCATAATTGAGGATATAGTTAACATACCATATCCTCAATTATGTACACACACACACAGCAATCGCTGAGTGCGTGTACTTTGCTCTTCTCTATGACACGCTGTCACAGGAGGATGATCGAGCGGTGTAGGGAGGAAAGCCCAGCCTTCAGTGACAGCGCCGTCTCCGCCCCCACACCGCTCTGCCGGACTGTGATAGGCGGCAGATCGGTGTGGGAGGAGACGCCGGCCGCTCACAGCGCTCTGCCGGCTGTCACTTTCTCTTCTCCCCGCTGGGACAGAGCAGAGCCCAGCGGGGAGGAAATAAATCAGGGATGCGCCGATCGGCAGGAAAATTGCACTTTCGGCATTATGCCAAAAGTGCAATTTTCGGCCGATATGTTTCGGCAGCCGATATATCGGTGCATCCCCAGTAATAACAAAATGTTTTAGAATTTAATACTAGGGGAAACAGTTTTTTTTTTAAATTCTGTAATTTTTCTTTATTAAAAAATAAAACCCCCAGAGGTGATTAAATAACACCAAAAGAAAGCTCTGTCCCCAAAAAAGGGTATAAAATTAATTTCAGTACAGCGTTGCATGACAGAATAAATGTCAAAGTACCGCAGCGCTGAATACTGAAAAATGGCCTGGACAGGAAGGGGGTTTAACACCCCGGACTTCAAGTGGTTAAAGAACACCTCATTTAGAAAAAAAGGTGCCCTGTCCAGGAGACCTTACTTACAAAAATATACTGATTAGTGAAAAGAAGCCCATGGACAGGAAATGAAAACGAAAAGGAGGACAAGATCGAAACCTAAAATACACGAAGGTGTACGAGAGCAGTATTTTCATTATAAAGCAAAGATCAAGCACATAAGAGAGCATGACCACAAACGAGGAAGAAAGCTGAAAACTAATCCTGGAAAGCTTCACTTAAACAGTAGTTGTTGTTGTTGGGACAGAACCAGCAGAGGTAGAGTCACTCAATACTAAGTACATTTTAACATGTTTGGGTGATACAGCTGACATTAGTGAAGTCCAAAAGCATGTGTTTTGTGTAGACTTATCAGGGCATCGCAGGGGTTAGAAACAAGGCAGAGAAGCTTCCCCTTCAAGCGTAACTCACTGCTACAAAGTAGGTCTGAAGCAAAATCACAATAGAAACAACCATTACCCTTAAATGCAGCAGGTTAGCATGAGGGTAGGTACAAAGGAGGGAATGGAGATTATTGCTAAGGGCTAGTTCACACCAAGTGCGGAGCAGATCCAGAGCAGTTACAGAACGGATCCACACTGCATCCAATGTATTCCAATGGTATTTTGGGCTCTAGTTCACACCACGGCATTCAGTTCCAGAGCATGTGGAAAAACTGCAGCATGCCATGGAACGCACCAAAAACGCATGCAAACACATCAAAAAACACTAGAATGCACTGAAAGCACTGACAAAAAAAACCCATTGCACTGCATGTGCATAAACTCATGCAGAACTGGTCTGCATTTGGTGTCACACCGAAAGCGTGTGCGTTCCAGAGCGGTAGCTGCTGGAACGCACCGCGATCGCTGTGAAACTTCTCCCCGGGCAAGCCCCATGTTTGCAGTGGAACGCAACGCTGGCAAGGTTTTGCCAGGCGTTCGATCACACTGCGGGCGGGGGGCGTGGAAGCGGTGCCATTGAATACAATGGACCGCCCCTCCCCCTCCCCAAAAGGCGGGGAGAAGTTTCACCGCGATCGCGGTGCGTTGCAGCAGCTACCGCTCTGGAGCGCACACGCTTTCGGTGTGAACAAGGCCTAAAGGGGATGCAAACTTTTTTTCTACACAGGGGTCTGCTTTATTCTAGTCTCACCATTAGGTTAGAAGCATTTTGTGCCAGCCTCGGGTGAATTACATCTCGAAATATCCTTTTGTAATGATTGTCTTAATATAAGCTGAGAAAACATCAAATTTAAAAATATTCTTCTTTCAAGGAAATTAAGTGCTGCTGCTTACAGACTGGAACTTCCTAGGCGAGCAAAACCCAACTATTTCCACAGCATGAAAATAAGAATTTATGCTTCCACTTGACAGCTTGTTATTAAACCAGCAGTAATAAAATATGATTTACCTCAGCTGGGGTTTTCATATCATCTGGTTTCTCCCATGTAGACTGCTTGGTTTCGATATTATAATAATATGTCCTACCATCTGGTGATTTATGCTCCGTCCACAAAGATTTCTACCAGAGGAATAAAGAAAAATGCCAACATAAGGGTAGGAATATAAATCAATGGCACAGACAGTAAACAAACGAATTACTGGCGTACTGTCTTAGAGGGCTCTTCATTAGCGGCAGTGTTTGTCGAAATGGCTGGCGGTGCTGAAATTACGGGATGTCCTGCCTAAATATTAAATAAAAAAACAAAATCACATTTTAAAAGGGCACAATGGAGAAATAGATATAAATACCATTTTTGTGCACACAAAATTCATCAAATGTTAATTACATACCTGCGTGACTGGTGGCTGAGCTGAGGGGGAAAACAAAATATATATTTATAAGAAATGGTGTTGTTCAGCTAAATCAAGGCCTCATGATTAGAAAAAAGTATTTGCATTTCCTATACTAATAGTTTTTACAATCCATATTTTTAGCAAAAAGGGCAAATAGTGAAAGAGGGAAGCTGACTGGCTGTTATGGAAGACAGACATTCATAAACGTCAAGTATGACTTAAAACAGTCTATTACTACGCCTTACATTTCATGTAGGGATGCACTGATACCAATACTGGTATTGATAGAGTATTTGTCAAGTACTCACCCGAATGCTTAGATACAAAAACTTCCAGTCATAGGGAGATCTCCATCTGACCGGCAGTGCCGAGGGAGCATGGAGCCGGCTTTCTTTCCAATCAGGAAGCCAAGCAGCCTTGGGAAGTGAAGCCAGTATTCTTTTGATACAACAGCTTCCCCAGCAATCAAGAAGCCGGGCGGCAGGTAATGATCCACTGCCTAGCTTCCTGATAATCAGGCCACACGGCACCCGTATCAGCGAGTAACGGAAATAAATATAAATAGATAGATAGATAGTTCGATAGCGAAAAACCGGTATCTGTGCATCTCATATTTCATGTAAATGTATATTTATGCATATGTTACGATTCAGCAAGCCACAAAAAAAAAACAAATGTGCAACGCTATTTATGTTTAGTTTAAAGGAAACCTGTACTGAGAGAATATGGAGCATGCCATTGCTGTGCTCTCCCATGCTGATCCAATGGCTTTAAGCATGTCGGAGACCATGACCTGGAAGAAGTATTCAGATCAGGAGCGGCAACTAAATTCCTAATCTGTAAACTTGTTCCAGGCCTGTGAAGGTATTGCAGACAGGGAAGAGACACTAGTAGATGTAACTGCTGCAGTTCTGGACTTGCAAATATTAAAACTAATATTTCATTGTATAAAATAAAGCAATCAATACTGTAAAGTAAGGTCACATACCCAGTGAGGGATCCAAGCTGTTCACACCTGGCTGTTAAACAAAGAAAGAAATGTAATTACTATTCCACCATAATTCAAAGATCCCTGTAGTGTAAAGGTGGGTATACACTGGAGCACACATTAAAAGCAGGTCAGCATAAAACCTATTGACTTCAAAAGAAGCAGTACGTGCAGAAGTTTTATCTGTAATAAGTCTTCTTGAAAGACGTTTCACTGGTCATCCAACCAGTGGCTCTTAAAAACACACGGAGACCTTGAAGGGAATTTGGCAGCTAGGATACGGATGTTTAACCACTTCAAGACCAGGTGTTTAGACCCCCTTCCTGTCCAGGCCATTTTTCAGTGTTCAGCGCTGCAGTACTTTGACTGACATTTATTCCTTCATGCAACGCTGTACTGAAATGAATTTTATACCATTTTTTGGGGACAGATAGAGCTTTCTTTTGGTGGTATTTAATCACCACTGGGGTTTTTATTTTACATTATGTTAGGAAACACTTATTATTACCCAGTTTTTTGGTAAAATATAAAAGTCAGGGTCACGTCGGATAAATAGACACCAAACAGCCGGCGGATTGCTTGTATGGTAACAGGCACCGCTGCCTGTTTTTAAATTTCGGCCGTTTCCCGCTCGCGCGCGCCGTCTACAGACGCCCCGCTCAGATCTTGAGCTCCGGGCAGGCCGTTTTTTTTACTACGGCTGGCCCGGAAGTGGTTAAAATGCGCTAAAATGTATGAAAGGTTAGCAAACTAATCAAACTAATGTTGTATCCTCCATACTGACACCTGTTTACATAACATATGCATATAACTGATGTTAAGCAAACGTCCTTAAACCAAAGAGTGTATAACTGTCGATACATTTTTCCAACAAAAACAGGCCGGGTTCACACCTAGGCGGCACCATTTTTCCCGCGTTTGTATGTGCGTGTTTTGTGTAGGTTAGTTGCACTTTGTACATGAAGACGCGCGTTTTGACTGGCAGCTAACGAAACATTGCGGGCAGTGGACGAACGCGCATTTAAACGTGCAAAAATGAACGCGTAAAATGCAACATGCTTCTGCCATACGTTTTAAGCCGTTTCCATTTAAGTTTATGGGGCGAAAAAACACTTTTAACTGCCCAAAGAAGCTCATGTACCTTTTCGGGCGTTTTCTTGCTTAGGTGTGAACAGGGGCCCTTTGAAAATCATGGGATTCCTTGTGTTGGGCATTTAAAAGTGCTTTTCCAACTGCTCAAAACACCTAGGTGTGCAACGGGCCTTAAGGGGGGGGGGGGAAACAAAAAACCCAACAAAATAACACATCTACTGCATAAAATAGCAACATCAATATACAACAAATAACCATTGCAGGCACACATATTAATGCCAAACTACCTGTAGGCCAGCAGGTAACGTGCCTGGTGCCACATGAGCTGGCATCATCATTCCAGGCAAGAGAGGAGGAATCATTGGAGCCATCTGTACAACAGAGAACAAGTTATAAGAACACAGAACTAACTATTACCACGGAAGAAAATAACTACACATTCACAAGTCCAAGCAAATTCTAGGTAGCAGGTAGCCGATGCATCGAAAATTTAAAGGTGTCACTTAAGGGTGTTTTACAATGTATTATGCTTGCAGGAATCAAAATTAAGTTTTATTTTAGGCTGGATATAATATAAAATATTGCATATACATATGTTCCATTTACCTTTCTGCAGTAGGCAGGGAGTAAGATATAAAAGTGTGGAATTTAAATGACAAACTTTAATACTTAAATCCCAATCGAACTTTCAGCTTAAAAAAGGAGAATTATGAGGCGAGTGAAAATCACTCAGCCTCATAGTTCTAGCCGACCTGTGACAATGAGACTGTCACAGGTCAGCTCAATAGATCGGGAATTGAGCAAACACATACTGTCACTTGCTCACTTCTCGATCCTGTCCCTGCAGAGCTGTGACAGTCACTCACGGCTCCCTGCAAGGATTCCCCCCTCCCCTGTCCGATCCTCCAGCGCTGACTGGATGGATCGACAGTAATGTCGGGATCCGTCCTGGCTTCGGAGTCTCAGTATACTGTGAGCTGTAGCTCGCGGTATACTGAGCTTAGGGTGACGGGAGGACGCTAGTTTGTGTCCTCCGGTTACCCTTAGGAGAACTATGGGGAAAAGCGTTTGCCGCACACTTCGAGCCGCCTGTTTTTACCGCGATTTGCGGTAAAAGAAACGCGCGACAGACGTGCGTTTCCGAGGGCTATCCGGCTGTATCCCAATGGATACGCGCTGCAAATACGCCCCAAAGAAGCTACTCTTCTCTTAAGACCTCGTTCACACGGATAACGGCCTGCCCGTACAGATCTGTGCTGCGTGCACGGCCGTACCGGGGCGTTCCCGGGAAGGACAGGTGCTGCGTGTGATTATACGCAGCAGCCTGTCCTTCTCTGGGAGTAGGCCGCCCTATGCTCACACGGCCTGCACGTCCGTGAGGGTGTACATACTTGTACGCCGACAGGATGGATCCTGTCTGCATCCAAGTAGGGCAGCGTACTCCCATAGAGAAGGACAGGCTGCTGCGTACAAATCACACGCAGCACTTGTCCTTCCTGGGAGCTGCACGACACGTCCATGCACGCAGCAAGGATCTGCATGGGCCAGCCGTTACCCGTGTGAATGAGGGCCTAAAGAACGATTGAATAATATGTAAGGGAAAGGAAAAAGGAAGGGGAGCTAGGGGATATCACATGCAAAGATCACTTACGTGTACATACCCCTGCCGCACATGATCTAAAGGGTTAGCAATCAGCATTATGCCAGTATATTTAAGAAGCTTAAGGACCTTTATCATGGACAAATGTCCCCAGAGAAGGACCCTCAAAATAACTTCCTGCAGAAACAGGGACAGCAACACTGGAAACTCAGCACCCACATGCAGAGTATGGCCCAGTTTGGATATGGCCTTTAGCTACCATCCACTAGCCCAGTAGCATTATTTCAGTACATTACCTGTCCCATTTGATGAGCACCCATTGGTCCCATCAAAGGTGGGATCATGCCTGGTGGTGCCAGATTTGGTCTTGGAGGTAAGCCACCCAGTCCCACGCCTGGGAAATGGGCAACAGGGGTCATCTAGTAAGGATGAAAATAAACAAATATTAAATGTTAACAAAAAAAAGAAACACGTCAGCAGAAAACAAATTATCCCGAGTCTGTAGCACAGAAAGAAACACAGGTAGATTGTGACAGTAATATTTCCAGAATGGGAACCCCCACAAACCAGCAGGAGTCTGATCACTCGTTTACCTTGTGTGAAGAAGCAATGGAGCTCCAGCTACCCCCAGCACTACCTTTAGAGGAACGTTATTTCCAATGACAAAGAATACACGGCATTTGTCAAGTAATTGTATAGCCAAACATTTTTCTAGTTTTGGTTTAGAGAATTGTTAGAACACTGGTCAAGTTTTTAATACAGTCCGTTTCCCAGTTCGGTATAATAGCCAGCTTTGTTTGTCCTGGCCACCAGAAAATGAGTGGAATTCCAAATTTTCATAGTTGTCCCTAGAACAGGAAGAGTGGGGATTTTTCTCACTTCATGTTCATTGCATTTCTAGCAGAGGAAGTGAAAATAAATTTCCCCAAAAGGGACACAGACAGCAATAAAACTCACTTGGGATTTAAACCTTTCTTACTGCACCCAAAAAAAATTGTTATGACTATACACGCACCTTAGGCCCCGTTCACATTGAGCGATTTATCGCGCGGTAATTCCCGCGATATCCTAGCTATTTACTGCGCGATATCGCTCTTCAATGCTTTGCAATGGGGCAAAGAGTCCTGCTGTCGCTACAGCAGGACCTTTTTGGAGCGGATTTTGCCACGATTCAATAGTTTTGATGCAAGCATTTGCGCGATATCGCGCAAAATGCAAATCGCGCGATTTGCGAATCGCTCAATGTGAACGGGGCCTCAACCTTAACCACTCATTAGCAGTCACCTCACCTGCAGCACACTGAAAGCAATGCGCTACTAATGAAATGATTAACGAGCATTACAAATAAAGTTCTTCACGGTCACACAAAAAAAATCCAAGCAGCCCTGATTTTTTTTGTTTTAAATACATGGGTAACCGATCACTTGCTGGGGAATGAGCGTGCAGATCACCAGTCTAAAGCAGTACAAGGGGAACAGGCTTTCCACTTTGCTTAAAATAGGTTTCTAACTTTCCTAAATAAACCAGGTTTCCGTTACCCTCCAAACCCCCAGAAATACATACTAACCTTTCCTTTGCGCTCCCGCAATTCTGTTGTGTAAGGATCTGAAAGAAATACCATGTACTTCCGGGTATAGAGGAACATGTGACAGTGCTGGGCCAATAAGCACTGTTACAGGGGAAGTCCATTGTCCTCCATAAGCTATTGGGTTTAATTTTGCCAGTGTTGTTTATATGGAGTGGCGATGAAGTGAAAAGAACAGAAGTATATTAGTCTGTGGAGGTGAGCATTAAAGTGAACTAGTTCTCCCCTGCATAGGAAAAGCACAGATTCACCTTAAAACGTGACATTAAAGTATATCCCCCCCCCAATGCTGGTGTAAGGACTTACCTTAAATGATGCCTCTTGATACGATCATCTTCTTCTTTACAGTAGTTTTCAAGAGTCCCTCCAACGCTGGTGCCGGTGTCCGATCAAGCTCTGACTCCTGGCACTTCCTGTCTCATGAAGTCTGTGTGGGTGAACGGCCTAAATTGGCTTACCCTGTGTCTCTCCGCCGAAGATCTGTACTGTGCATGCACCGCCCCATGATCCTTTGCGGCCGCCAGAGATTTTTTTCAGATCTTCGGTCAGGCACGCCTGGCGGAGACACAGGTAAGTAACCTGTTTTGTAACTTTTGTTTTAAATGTTTTTGCATATATCTACTGCTCGCTAGCAGTAGATGTATGCAAAAACCACTGAGGGTTTAAATATCCTTTAAGTATAAACCCTCAGACATCATCCTCATCACTGATAGTCCCCCAAGCTCCTGAGCAGACACACTAACCTAATGCTCACAGCTAAAAAGGTCTTTACAGACAACAGTTCCAACTTTCTCTTCAGCACGTACTCGGAGGCAATCCTCCAAATTCTGATGTTGGATTTTGAGTATTAGCAGTGATGAGGAGGATCTGGGGAGTGCGAGACAAGTGTACTATGAAGGAACACAATCCTACAACATCTCTTTCCTGAAAGAAACATTCCACTCACAAAGCTGAGTTCTGAAAGTTCTAAATTTTTCAGGTTTAATGATAAACAAAATAGCAACAAAGAGAATATCAAGTTGTCAGAGAACAGTCCTGATAAAAGACATTTGGTAAAGATCTTAAAATGATTTAAAAGATAGCAAACTCTTATGTTTAACTAAAAACGCTTGTAATTACTTGTAAAAGACATGCAAAAGACACAAGAACTGAGATTACTTACAAACTGTCCTCTCATCATGCGTGATCCATTCGGAAAAAGTCCAGGCTGACTTGGTCCATTTGTACCATCGCCAGATGCCTGAAAGGATTGCGAACAGACTGATCATGCAGGTGAGCTACACAAGGATGGAGGATGATTTGGTGTCAAATGGCACTTACAGCATTATATCTGACAACTGACTGACGATCGAATGCATTCAAGAGTGCTTTACTAGCCTTCGCTTCGTGGCCCGGCCACCAAATCAGCACTTTTGCTGCCAGTGTAACATGGCAACAAATCTACCGCTGGAATACATACTGCAATAATAGCATCTCTTCACATCCAAGCCATCAAATTATATTGCAAAAACTATAGCAGAAAATGTTATTTTTAATCAAGAAAGAGAAAAAAATTATCTGAAACTGCCCAAAGACTACGACACATGATTGTTAATAGAAAAAAATAAATCAGTTGCATTTTAAAGTTAAATACACCAGCTTATTCCATCAACAGAACAGCAGCTAAAATCTGACCATCAATGGCAACATGGACATGTCAAATTTAGGGATGCACAGATACTGGTTTTTCAGTATCGAGTACCGATATTTATATTTCAGTACTTGCCGATAGAGTACCATTACTGGCTTCCCGGGCAATCAGGAAGCCGAGCAGCCTGGCATCAACCAACGCCGGGCTTCTTGATTGCCCGAGAAGCCAGTTCAATGCTGTTTTGGCCAGCTTGATGACGATTGGCTGGAAAGCTGGCTTTCCGGGCCAAACAGGAAGCCAGGCTGCGAGTCATTACTCGCGGCCTGGCTTCCCGATTGGCCGGGAAGCCAGCTCCATGTTCACTGGCAGCACTGCCGGTCAGGGGAAATCTCCCTCTGACCAGAAGTTCTGGTATCGGAGCATTGGAGCGAGTACAATTCCTTGCCCAAAAACTCAGTATCTGCCATGATACCAATACTAGTATTGGTACATCCCTAGTCAAACCTTTAACACAGGGGTAGCAAACCTCCAGCACTCCAGCTGTGGTGGAACTACAAATCCCATGAGGCATTGCAAGATTCTCACAGCCACCGACATGACTCCCGAAGAGAGATGCATCATAGGATTTGTAGTTTCACCACAGCTGGAGGGCCGGAGGTTTGCTACCACTGCTTTAACAGCTCCTAAAGTGACAGAACACCCAAGTCTTTATGAAGTCTGCAGTGATGCGTCTGCAAGATACTTTTGGACTTTTTGAAACTATATTGTCATATTTCAACTTGAAATCAAGCAATATCCCTTGATTGTATAACGGAGCTAATCCAAAAATCTCTTTAAAAATTCATGCTGGTCCTACTGAACCATCAGCATTGGATCAATGGTTTGGTGCCTTTTGCTCAAATTAGAACTGTACCTTTAAAAACACATCCTAATGTACCAGCCAAGGTTACAGATATACGATAGTTATCGTTCCTGTACAGCCCCGATGCTGGCGACGTACACTGTACGTCGTCAGTCACGAAGGGGTTAAAGAGCTGCCATCACAGGTCCAGGCCATTGTAACTATTGCTCTGTTTAAGGTCAGCTTGTCAGCGCTTGCACTGTAACTGCAGATAAGAAAACAAGGAACATTTCTGCTTCAGTATGTTCACTGTAGAAGCCATAAATGATTTCTATACGATTTCTTGCTCCTTTCTATTAGAGCTGCCTTGTCCTTCGACCGGTCCCTGTAGCCTCACTCCCCCTCCGCTGCAATAGTTTAAGGATCCTGAGTCATCACATTCTATACATAGTGAATAGGATGTGAGGATACCAAGGGACATACCATTGCTGCAGTGGAGGAGACAGGCTTTGGGGACTGGAGTAGCAGCCAGTCAGCAACACGGTTTGGGTGGCTACAACTATTGTTTTTTAGCACTTAAGACACAAACAAGCACTTAACCCTTGCAGTGATGTGGTAGCCTTGCTGCAAAGGTTAAGAACACTTTACCCCAGAAATCTCCTTTAAGGCTCTCGAGATGTGCATACCGACTTCCACAATTGGCTGTCTGGAATCTCATGGGATGGACAGGACTTAGCTAAACGCATGCAGGGGCTGCCTACCAGTTTGTGATCTCTAATTACTGCCTAAGTGCATTGCAAAATCAACATTTACAGTTCCTGGCATTGAAGACATTGAGCAAGGCAGAAGGCAGAAGCCTTCTCTCCCCATCTGTAAATACAGTGCAGCCTGCAAAGAAGCGGAATATACACAGAATAAGGTTTGCAATATCCTGGGCCTGTCACAACAAGGAAAGAACAGGCAAGTAAGCAGGTTACATCTGCAAAGTACTCCGGCATCCCTGGATATGTTGAGCGCTATTGAGGGGAATTTTTCAAAACTGCAGCAGCTGTGCATGACAACCAATCAGCTTCTCTCTTCAGTTTGTTCGGTTAAGATTTGAAAATGAAAGAGAAGCTGATTGGTTGCCATGCACAACTGTTCCAGTTTTGATAAATCTCCCCATTGTGTTTTAGGTGTACCGATATCCTTGAAACCTTCAACACATTTGCACACAGAGGACTAGAAATGAGAGTTCTGGAGAACGCTCTGCCTCTGGACTCTGCCCATAATTATTCAACATTGCATACAAAGCACATTTCCCTCTACATTGTGACATTCACTTGGATACGGCTAGACTCAGAAAGAATGTATTACTTTAGTTAGTGAGGAGCAAGTAAAATGTATTATAATCAAAACACTATCCCCTTAGCAAAGAAATCCCACATTAGGAGCTGTCAGCTGAACAAGTAACTCAATGAGTATATAATGTATCAAAAATAGTATTTTTAATTAACATGGAAGTAGTACAAATCATAAATCACCTAATACACAACATTTAAAATCTTTAAAAGGCTTCCCTTGAATCACCCAAGTATTGGACAGGACAGTCGGGGTTAATTAACCACCAAACTAACAGGCAGTCACTGGTATAAGTAGATGTGCTATATGGAAATAGCAGATACAATTGTATCAGCACACAGCAGGGTTACTCACTTCATATGTGGCCACAGAGTGAAAGTCCATCTGAGATTCCGTGTTGGATGTAAACAGGATGTTTTAATAGAGCATATTCATATAATGATTTGCAATCCCAGAAGTTGTTCTCATTGTGCTTTTAAAGATCGCATGGTTTCTCTTATTTCTCGTCCGGATTAACGCTGTGTGTTGATACAATTGTATCTGCTATTTCCATATAGCACATCTACTTATACCATTGACTGCCTGTTAGTTTGGTGGTTAATTAACCCCGACTGTCCTGTCCAATACTTGGGTGATTCAAGGGAAGCCTTTTAAAGATTTTAAATGTTGTGTATTAGGTGATTTATGATTTGTACTACTTCCATGTTAATTAAAAATACTATTTTTGATACATTATATACTCATTGAGTTACTTGTTCAGCTGACAGCTCCTAATGTGGGATTTCTTTGCTAAGGGGATAGTGTTGTTTTGATTACATGTTTTGAAACCCAGGAGCTGAATTCATATAGTTTATACATTTGTTACTTATTGCGAAACTCCTTCTCCCCTGTTTGTTTATATAAAATGTATTATACCGTTATTTACACCCAAAACAAGATCTACAGACACCATGAATCATGTATAACGCGGTCAGGAAGCCTGACCTCTGCAAGAGTTGCAAGCACCTAATACAATAGCAAATAAAATGGATTTTAGAAAATCCATCGCCAAGGAGAGAGAGATGTTTGGCAAATAGCTGTTCAAAAAAAATTTTACTTCAGCAATGTTCATAGCTGCTCACATTGCACGCATACATTTGCAGCATGCGTATTTTAGGCAGTCATGTGATTTCAGTGCAGCCAGACAATAAAAATACAACCTTTTTTTCTTTACAAGGCATCTCAATGTAGAACATTTACCAATTAAAACAATAGACTTCAACATTTGTGTGAAGTTCACCTACAGAGAATGAAGCAACAAACACAAAAGCGCTCATGATGTGAGCAAGCGTTTCATGTTACCATTCCTTTAATGACTGTCAAATAGTTAGGGATGAAAAGCATTTTGCATTGTTAAAAAGTAACCTGTAACACGTTTTAACTTTTTTCTTGAAAAGCAAAAGGTAACTTCCCGATATAAAAATTCTTAATCTTCTAGGACAGAAAGCCTACTTAGCAGGTTGCCTTCCTGGAAGATGATTGGGGAAAATTGTTTTAACAGCGATCAGTATTTTGTTTTTAAAAAAAAAACAAAACAAAAAAAGACATGATTTCTAAATTCAGAATATGTTATACGAGGGAAAATCAAAACAGAAAGGCCAAATACATTTAATGGCTTTAAAAGAAATAACTTAGCGCTGGAACATATCACTTTTCCACGTAGTCCCCAAGCAAGATAATGAACTTGTTGTATCATTCTACCAGCTTCTGTATTCTGCAGAGAAGCATGTCGGCGGCTGCTGCTGAAGCCAGGTGTGCGCGGCTTCCTTTACTTCATCATACGAGGGGAACCTGTGACCGTGGAGCGCCTCCTTCCCTTCGCTCTCCGGGATGTAGTGGTGCACCCATGTCTCATCGCCAGTGCCAATTTTCTCCAGAACACTCCGATCTTCATACCGTCTCAAGAACTGGGTCACAACCTACACACGATGTTGCTAAAGAAGAGCAATAGGCTGTTTGGGAAACCTTTCGCAAAATCATGGTGCTATGACCATACTGAGCCAACATCCGACGGTGCATGTCCATTGGTTTCACTCCCTAAAGTGTGGGAGTGTTGTTCTTCGATGGTTCAATCTCACAGTGGAGCTTCCATGTTTCTGCTCACGTGACCAAAGTCGGAGCGCTATACCGCGCATGGTCAAACTATCCAACAGGCTATGTAAATATGCTTCATTGTGCAAGCTTCTTTGTGTTCGGATACCGCATAATTTATACATTGCCTTTTCTTTTTGATTCTGCCTTGTATATACAATATGTCACCAACTGATGGCTTTCAAAGAATGTTTTCACAAAGTTACAATATTGCATATCTGCCAGCTATTAGACAAAACGTAACTGAAAGAATTACTTAAAGGAGAATTATGAGGTGAGTGAAAATCACTCATCCCTATAATTCAAGCCGACCTGTGACTATGAAACTTTCACAGGTCGGCTCTATTGATCGGGAAGTGAGCAGAAACATGCCGCCGATCGTCTCCCTGCAGTGAGCAGTGACTGTTAGTCACCTCTCCCCGCAGGGATTCCCCACTCCTCTCCAGCGCTGACTGGAGTAACGGACGGAGAGGGTGTGGGCACAGCTGGCTCTGCCTCTAGATAGGCAGAGCCCGCTGTCAATCTGCCAATGGGGTGGGTCTCGACAGTATTGTCGATACGTCCCGGCTGCAGCGTTCTCAGTATATAGCGAGCAATAGCCTGCTATATACTGAGCTTTGGGTCACGGGAGGAGGTTAGACTATGTCCTCTCGTGACCCTGAAGAGAACTATGGCATAAAAAGATTATCCCATAGGTAAAGACTGAAGCAATGAGGGGCGGGCTTCCGATGACTGCAATGCTGAACAGGTAGTGTGCGCGTGCGCACACCGGCCCGTTCAGCATTTGTCTCCCGAGCACCGTTCAAATCAGCCGAAAATCGTAAGATTTTCGGCTGGTTTTCTAGCATGCTCCTTAGACAAAAGACGTGCGACCGTATAGTAGAAACGGTTGCACGTCTTCATTCACACTGCACGATTCTCGTACGATCGCGCAGTGTATGGGCACCTTAAGAAAGACCATCACTTGCAGCTCTATAAAAATTGAAGAGCCATAGTTTCACTGTCACTACCACACAGAAGCTTGAATTTACAGCATATAGCACTTCAGAGTATGATGCCTACCTGTGACACAGCATACGAAATCATAGGGCTTAAAGTGACATTAAAGGATACATTTTTTCCCCTCCCCCCATGTTAATGTCAGCACTTACCTTAAATGATGTCTCTTAATCCGATCTTCTTTCCTCATGTTTTCATCTGTCCCTCCAGCGGTGCGGCGGCTCTCCGATCCAGCGCTGACTCCTCTCTGCTTGCAGGCACTTCTGATCCAACGGTGTCTGCACGCGTTCATAGACTTACCTTGCGTCTCTGCTCGCCTCCCGGCCGAGAATCCGAACTACGCATGCGCCCGCCCCAAGATCCATTGCGGCCCCACGAGCAGTTCCGGATTCTCGGCTCGTGAGTGCGCAGCGATAACGAGGCAAGTTTAAACCGCTGTTAAAGCGGGGGTTTTTTTTTTTTTTAAAGCTTTTTGCCTATATCTACTGCTTGCTGGCAGTAGATATAGGCAAAAAAAAACAGAGGCTTTACAACCACTTTAACTACAGGGTGTTTTAAAATTATTGTACTAATCAACTGAACCTATTGTTGAAAGATCAATTTCATAGCAGAATGATTAACAATGCCCATGTAGTTTTATCCTTTAAAGTACTTGGTCCGAATAAGGATATGAGACCAAACTGTTTTTTGCATGCACACACCCCAGGGCTGTTCTCTATCCTTCTTTCACTACTTGAAAAGTAGTGTCGCTGCACGGGAACAAGCACATGTATATCAAGTTTTGGGACACTGTCCTATGGTTGTTCGGAGTCAGTGTCTCACCGATTATTAAAGAGAAGGCAGCCTGTGAGCATGTACCTTTAAAAGCAACTGAGCAACGACAGCCGCCAAATGTTTATCCTGACGAGTCTCTTTGGAACAGAATACACTCAGGTGCTGTCATAGTTTCCCATTACTTAGCAAATCGCCGACCTGGGACACGTGCCCCCAATACTACATATTCATTAAAAGGTCAGTGATTCGGCAAATAAAACCAGAATTACGACAGCCCTGGAGCTTGCATCACCAATAAAGACAGATTCTCTTTGGAGGGAATATGCTTAGGTACTGTCATTACTAATATTCTGCTTCACTACTTAGTGAGCCACCAACCCGGGACATGTACCCCAACCATTGATATGCACATAAATGTTCAAAGTCCGTGACCCACTAAGAGACTTATTTAAAATGGAGAGTAGATGCCACAACCAGTGGGACATTTCAAGGTGCGCCTGCATTTTACCTTTCATTCATAAAAATGCAGAGTGGGGTGTAGAGCCTGAGGTGTTCTTCAGAACGTTCTTCGCATATTGCCGCAGGGAACATCCCGTGACAGAAGAGGTTGGTCACATGACTGGAATCAAGTCCTGTAATCAAGCTTTCCTCCTCAAGCGCATTCAATAAATGAAAGGGGCAGGCGGGGCAACTGACGAGATAAAACAAAATAAAGCTAGCCACAAACTTTAATATTAGTCTAAAAGTTTAATTCGGGGGTAAGAAACCCACCCGGGTGACAACCTGTTTGAATTTCCAGTATGTTCTACATAGCTATGATCACCAGTACATTATATTCCAAAGATGGTAACTAAACCCAAGAAAAATGCCCACTTACACTGCACAGCAAAGGATGCAAGTATGCTGACTATTGTTCACAGCTACACAATGCATTGTATAGCTAAACACTTTATATTCCACAGTCTTTAATCATCCCCGATGAGCCTGTCTGATGTATAAAGCACCCATGACAAGCGACTATAGTTTACAAGCCACAGCATGCTCTGAGTAGCCAAGAACACTGGTACCTTATATTCCACAGCCTTTGCTGAGCCATATGAATTGTCTGCCTAAGATACACCGCAATTCCCAGTAAGCTCTATGCAGCTGAGAAGAATTTATATTCAACAGCCTTGGATGAGCAATATACAGAACTGGTTTAGGGTTAACAGCACCCATGTCCTCTAACCAGGGGTTACAATTGCCAGGGATACCATCACCTGTGTCCGATGACTACAGTTTACAATGGCCAGAGATCCCATCACCCGTGTCATAACAACTAAATCGATGAGAATTAGAAACTATTTTCATCACCGATTAGTTGTTTGGGGAAGTAGGGAGAATGTCTTTTTATACAATCGATTCGTTGGAAAAAAAATAATTGGGCAACTAATCGATTATGAAAATAATCGTTAGCTGCAGACCTACATATGACTACAGTTTACAGTACAATTGCAAGGGATCCCATCACCTGTGACTACAGTTTACAATTCCCAGGGATCCCATCATCCGTGTCATATGAATAGTTTACAATGCCTAGGGATTCCATCACCATGTCATGTGACTACAGTTTACATTTTCCAGCATGCTCTTGTTAGCTATGAACACTTCTATCCTATATACCACATCTTTTGATGAGCCTTATAAATCTAAGGTATGCAGCACACCTGTCAGCAAACAAATTAACAACACCTAGCAAGCCTTTGATAATCCATATAAAGTGGCTGCCACAGCACTCATGTCAGTCGACTACCCAGCATGCTCTAAGAACACTGGAATCCTATATTCCACAACCTTGTATGATCCATACAAACTACACGGCACTCATGTCAGCAGACCATAGTCTACAACACTCAGCATGTCCCGGGTGGCATGGCACAAAGGTAATTATAGTTGCATGCCGTGCCCCGAACACAAATCATTCATATCTGCGCTCTGACACAAGGCCTGGGCCATCCAGGTCTCCCTGTACTGCTCAGCCCCCCCGAAATGTATAACAAATAGGTGGGTCACAGGGGGAGGCCTGGAGCCCGAACCCCGAAAACAGAAAGCATCCCCACACAATAACACACAAGGCTCTCTCACCATGACGCCCGCTCTCCGGCCTCCCAGCAAGGGACACGCGCACTGGTCCCCGGCACAGGAAGTGAGGAGGACGGCGCTTACTGACGTCACACAGCGGGGAGGAACTGCGAAAAGACGCAGAACGAAGACGTCTGCAGCGCTACTTCTGCCAATGGCTGCGCGCTTTGCTCACCTTTTCTAAGAGACGCTCCGTGATTGGCCAGTCCGAAGGTGTAGCCTGTCTGGCTTCACGAGCGGGAGTTCTTGCTAGAGTTTTTACAATACAGCGGCTCCAGGAGCGATTAACAAGGTAAACGAGTGACCTGAGCGGAACACACCGGACACGGGAGTAGGGGGGAATGAGACTTAGCGGAGTTCACAGCTGCCATAGAATTCCCCACAGGCCGGGGGCGCGTGAGGAGAGCTGTGGCAGCTGTGCCGAGAAACAGATAAATGACAGTCGCGTAGTCTGTGGTAGTCGGGGCTACCGGTATACATTGTATTTGTACGTGTATATATACTGACAAGAGCAGGCAGCGGAGGACACATCCAGCGGGTAGGATACATCTCTCTGTCCGTCTCCCGCTCACTGACTGACTGGTGGAGGGATATCTCTGGAGTGTGAAGGGTGAGGGTTTTGCGCATGCGTGAAAAGGTCCTTGTGCTCCGGTGGTAGGCGGAGTATGTCGCGGAGGGATACATATCTAATGGTGCATAGGCTTAATGTGATAGAACAGCGAGAAGAGGGTGTAAACAATAACAAAGGCCTTCTCTTGTTTACCCCATTTTTGCTGTGAACAACTGCATCTGTTTTCTTCTTTTTGATTATACTTGATAGTCCTGACAGTAATCACGTGGGCTTGTAACTTCCTGTGCTGGTCTAGAAACACACTGGGACCAATAAACTATTGTTGATCTGAACTTTTTTGTGTTTTTTTTTTTTTGGTCACATGATCCGAACTTGACATCTGTAGCGGTGCCATTTATTGTGAGAAAGGTATCACCGGCTCACTACTGTGTGTAAATGAACAGACTGCCCTAATATAACTCAGGTTAATGCACCGCAGCAGAGCAGGCTGAGATCCCCCAAGTGAACGTTGCCACCTTAAAACAGGAAGTGCATTACTGGCAGGATCGCCAGGTGAAAATGGGGAAACCAATGCAGCCACCACAACCGAGGACTGTTAAAGTGACACTAAACTCAGGAGTTAAATCTTAAACGTCCAACTGATTCCTCCATCTACGCTAAACTGTGTGGATGGAGGACTCTCCCCCTGGGCCAAGCTTCAGTATCTTGCTAGTCGGCCCCGCTGGCTCTCAAAACACCTGAACAATCTGATTGGTTGCAGGCGTTGTTCAGGTATTTTGAGAGCCAGCGGGGCCGACTAGCAAGATACTGAAGCTTGGCCCAGTGGGAGATTCCTCCATCCACACAGTTTACCGTGTGGAACTTTTTCCATCTGACCATAGGAAATCTGCAGATAATCTATAGGCGTATGGCCAGCTTCAAGGTGTATAGGCAGCTGTACATATATCTTCCTGTCTCCAGCCAACAATGTTTTCCAACCACTAATGAAATGGCTGATTCCCCCAACCCCCCCCAAAGTGTTGTAGGCACCCGGAAGCTGAGCCTATTCATAATCTCTCTGCACATCGGACTCTTCCCCTACCGCACATGCTTTGGCATGATGTTTGAGATTTAGCAGTACTCAGCCCCAACGTCCACATACAGCTCTTCCCTCACTTCACATCAGTCTTCACTGAAATCTCACCCGCAGATCACCAGGGAAAGAACCAGCACAGGGGATTATCAGTCATGTGACAGCAAATAAACACTAAACAATAAGGTCATTTCACGGTGATATTTTAAAAATAAAAATCATAAGGCTCATTCACACGGGTGTGCATGGCATGCACGCCTGTGCAGAGACCTGCTCCGGGGAGGGACAGGCGCAGCTGACTCTACATCTACTTCTGTTTTGTTTTTTATGAGTTTTATTAGGTTTTTGCAAATAATACAGTAACTAGACAATGTTACATTACAATAACATGACTATGAAATACCATACAGAGGAATAAGAAATACAAATAAATGGGTGCAATCTTAACAGAGAAGAGACATTGGGTACAAACAAAACTCATTAAGCATGGTTTACAAAAATACTCTGGGGGAAGTTATCAAAACTGGAGCAAACAAAATCTGGAGCAGTTGCCTATGACAACCAATCAGCTTCTCCAGCTTTGAAAATGAAAGGTAGATGCTGGTGGGTTGCCATGCACAGCTGCTTCAGATCTTGTCTGCTCCAGTTTTGGTAAATTCCCCTCTCTGTTTTTCAACTATACCAAACTGTCATGGGAAAATGAGATAATCTCAATATTGTCAACTGTCGAAAGCTCCAACCGCTTGGACCAAATAGCTTCACATTTATTTGGGCAACTTCTGGCCTTATAGGTCAGTTTATAAAGAAGGACCATCCGATCCACCAAGCTTTTCCATTCCGTCAATGACGGCGGGTTACTCCATAACAATGAATTTCTCTGCACAGAAAATAGTAATAAGGTTCTTAAAGTGTACAGATATATCTAGACAACCAGCATATCCCAAAATACACCACAATGGGCCACAAATATGAGGAGCTTCCAAATAATCATTAATAAACTTAGTAACATTATGCCAGTAAGAGCCAATCATAGGACAACGCCATATCATGTGCCAAAGGTCAGCATAGGCTGTAGAACAGCTAGGACAGGAAGACGAAGGACGTCTGCTCATGTGAAACATTCTAGATGGCGTGAAATATACTCTATGCAGAAATCACGACTACACCAGTTTATCTCTGGCAGCAATAACGGAATATCTACTTTATTATGAAGCCTATGAGAATTAGGGATGCACCAATATATCGGACGCCGAAACATATCGGCCACAAATGACACTTTTGGCATAATGCCGAAAGTGCAATTTTGTGGCCGATACAGCGACGCATCCATTCTTTCTCTCCTCCGCGCTGGGCGCTGCTCTGTGTCCCAGCGGGGAGGAGATAAACTGTCACAGGTGGCTGAGCGCTCAGCCTCCTGTCACAGATCAGAGGAGAGTAGTGTGGGCGGAGACAGCGCTGTCACAGGTGGCTGAGCGCTGCGGGAGGAGAGCGATGTGAGTGGCCGGCGTCTCTCCTCCCCGCACCGCTCAGCCACCTGCCACAGATCAGAGGAGAGCAGTGTGGGCGGAGACAGCGCTGTCACAGGAGGCTGAGCTCTCCTCCTGCAGCGCCCCACCCAGCCTCCTGTGACAGCTGTTAGGATGGGGAGTGAGGTACAAACACTCGCTCAGTGATCACTGAGTGTTTGTACATAATTTAGGACCTGGTATGTTTACTATATCCTCAATTATGAATGAATGGGAAGTGATCTACATCACCTCCTGTTCATTCATGATTGTGATTATAGTAAACACACTATGTTCTCATGTTATGAATGAACAGGAACACTCAGTATAGAGGATTCCTGTTCATTTATAACAGGGGCTGCAGTAAAAGTGACTGTGTCCTCAATCTCTTTTTCTATTTTAAAAGGGAAATATCAGGGGTCTGGTCAGACACCCCATATGTCCCAGAAGCCCCTAAAAGTAAAGTATAAAATAAAAATATTTTAATAAAAAATGAATAATTAAAAGTTTATATAAAATAAAATATTTTTAAAAATTTGAAAAAGTTCAAATAAAAAACATTTTCGCTTTCGGCCTGACTTTTTAGTTTTTATTTCGGTTTCGTCTTTGAAATGTTCATTTCGGTGCACCTCTAATGAGAATGCTTCTGCTTAGAGACTCTTGCATAAGCGTTGTGACACTTTTCCTACATTGTGATATACCATGAAGAGCCAGGTTGTTCTTGAATTCAGTATGAGTACATACTTTTGTTTGAAGTTTGTGTCCACACAGTAACATCATTTTCATTTGTAACAGGTTTCTGGATGGACACCTCTTATGTGACCAGTGCCAGACGGTTAAGGAGTACCAGCCGTCGTCCTGCCGCCTATGGCAATGTCCCATCTAATAGCGTCCAGAGCCAGGTTTCAAAGGAAGTTCTTCTACAAGACACGTTGCTGAGAAACTTGGACAGCGACCTGTCTGAGGAAGTTGTGTACAAGACGAGCAGTCTCAGGGACGAGTCTGAGCTGTATTCCGAATCAGAGCAACCTGAACACAACGGCACCGCCAAGTCACAAGTGGTCACTTCCAGGAAAAGTAAAAGATGGCCATGGCGGTTATTCTCCATGTTCTGCTGCCTTGTGGTTGTCAGCATGCTCGCCGTTCTGCTTGTATGTCTTTATATTGTACTGCAAGGTAACTTTTCATTTAAAACCATTCACATGGGGTGACTGCGATTTAGTTTACTGCTATGCAATAGAAAAGTAGAGCTTGCGGGATGGAGTTTTAGTGAATATGTTGGGTGGGCGGGTTGCAATTTTACTATTTCAGTTACTTATTTTGTTTGTGAAATAACGACATCTGTTTTCTGTGTAGATATGCACTATGGAAAAGAGAGTGAAGAAGAAGTGAAAACCAGTATGTTAGGTAAGAAACATTGTATGGGCGGTAACTGTTTAACCACCTTACTGCTGCTGTATATAAGAAAACGGCGGGTAGGTGGACACTGTTTTTTGGAGCGCTATTTAAAAAATGCACTGCAGAAAACACGTGGTGCACCCTCTAAACGTCTGTGATTGAGCTGTCCTCAGACAGCACAGATCACAGTCACAATGAGGGGAATTTAGAAAACTGAGCAGACAGAATCTGGAGCATCTGTGAATGGCAACCAATCAGCTTCTATCTTTCATTTTCAAACTGAAGAGAGAAGCTGATTGGTTGCCACGGGCAACTGCTCCAGATTCTGTCTTCTACAGTTTTGATAAATTCCACCCAATGTACAGAGCTAATCAGAGTGGTGCAGTACCTTGTGATTGCTGTGAACCAATCACAGCCATCATATGTGGAAACACTGCCTGTGCTTACAAACATTCAGCCCATTCACAACAGATGAAGGGAAGACTGAATGTAAACACAGCAGGAAGGAGGATTGCAGCAGATCAAGCAGTGGAGGATTTTCAAGTGCCCCTGACCCCCAATGATTGTAGGTTCGGCTTGGAGGAGGGGGAGTTTAAATTTCCACTGACCCCCAATGATTGTAGGTTCGGCTTGGAGGAGGGGGAGTTTAAATTTCCACTGACCCCCAATGATTGTAGGTTCGGCTTGGGGGAGGGGGGGTTTAAATTTACCTTTACAAACATTCAGCCCATTCACAACAGATGAAGGGAAGACTGAATGTAAACACAGCAGGAAGGAGGATTGCAGCAGATCAAGCAGTGGAGGATTTTCAAGTGCCCCTGACCCCCAATGATTGTAGGTTCGGCTTGGAGGAGGGGGAGTTTAAATTTCCACTGACCCCCAATGATTGTAGGTTCGGCTTGGAGGAGGGGGAGTTTAAATTTCCACTGACCCCCAATGATTGTAGGTTCGGCTTGGAGGAGGGGGAGTTTAAATTTCCACTGACCCCCAATGATTGTGGGTTTGTTTCTTTTTGTTTTTTTATATTTGTTTGTTTTTGGTGTTTTTTCAAAGGTGGAAGGTGCCATTGACCATCATTAGTTGTGGGATTGTTTTGTTTTTTAAGGTGGGGAGGGGGTTAAAGTGCCATTGACCACCATCGTCATGGGATCATCTTTTGTAAAGGTAAATGTAGGCAAACTGAATTTTCGTTTCTCCTTTTGTGTCTTTTTATATATTAAAGAACTCCAGGAAAACTATTCTTAAGGCTTGCAGTGGGGCTACCCCACACTGCAAGGGTTAAGATCTCGTTTTTGTCTAGGGTGTAAAATAACAAAGTTATACTCTCTTGAACCTCACAGCCAACTGGATGTTAGAACCCTCCGGCCTGTCTCCTCCTCCACTGCAGCGATAGTATGTCCCTAGGCGTCCTTCCATCCAATACACAGTGTATTGGACATGATAACTCAAGGATCCTAAGTCCGATGGAGCGGAGGGTGAGAGAGGTTGGACGGACCGGTTATACTCACCTGAACCTCAGAGCCGGCTGGCTCTTAGGCCGATATTTCCAGTGTCTCTCACCCTCCACTGAAGCAGTCTAAGGATCCTTGACTCATCATGTCCAATACACTGTGTATGGGACGCAAGGACAGTGTGGTACATACCATAGCTGCAGTGGAGGAGGAGATAGGCTGAAGAGAGCGCTCTAACAGCCAGCCGACTTTGAGCTTCAGGTGAGTATAACTTTAATTTACACCCTAGACAAAAATGAGCACGTAAACCTTGCAATGTGGGGGTAGCCCCACTGCAGGTTTTAAGAATATTGTTCCTAGAGTTCTTCTTTACAGGCTGGTACTCAAGTGTTGAAAGACCTTCTTGTTGGAAATCGGTTAATTGAGACAACCTCTGGCTTCTTGGACCTCTCAAGAACTCAATTGTCAAAGTTTCCAACTCCAGTCCTTCACTCTATTGAATGTTTACCTTTTTTTTTTTTTCTTACCTTTATAATGGTTGATGAGTAGAACAGGATATAATGTGCTCATGCTTCATATATTTGCACACTGTATACATATTGTCTTATGGGCAATGTTCTTCATTGTCAGGGTTCTGGAGTCTGCTGGTCTTGTCATTGGTTGCTGGCCTCTCTTGCTGCAGCTTCTCTTGGACTGTCACCTATTTTGACTCTTTTGAGCCAGGAATGTTTCCCCCAACTCCTCTTTCTCCTGCACGTTTCAGGTGAGTTTTTGTTTTGGATGTATGTATACCGGATAGAGAAGGCAGGCATTGGAATAATGGAATTTTTAAATGTCCAGCTGCCAAAACAAATTCAAGATCAGTGCCCTCTAGTGGCTGAAATAGAAATTGCTTTGCAGTTCAGGGACCTCTTTATCAATGTTCTAAATAGTTTAAGAAATAGGGAAATCTTTTTTCCTTTGCATTTTTTTTTCCACTTTATCAGCTTGACCTTTTAGTCAAACTGTCAGAAGTTTCCATTTAGTAGCCCTCAGCTATTTATAGTTGCTTCACTGATTTTCTGGTTTGTTGGCCTATTGATCACTGTCGTCAATATAGGTGGAGAAAATCGTCAGATTCTGAGAAGTAAAGATTTTGTTTTTTCATTTCTTGGTTTTAGGCCAAGTCTTATTTCATTCTATTTTGCTATGAGAGAGAACTCAGCAGTAGCTGCTCCTGATTTGATTAAATCATCCCATGGCCCCTAGGACCCAACTGGGCAAATTGACATCGTCTTTTTTAAAGTGCCTAAAAATTGTTTGGGGGCAGAATCCCTTTTTGTATTTTGTAAATGACCAATTTAACTAGTAATTATAGTGTTCCATTAACTTTTAATAGTGGGTATAGGATGTTTATCAAGGCAAGTATTTAAAGGGAATCCCCTGTCATATCCCACATCGTTTTCATTACCCCTTTATGTCTATATTGCCTACTATTATTTTAAAGCTGTGTTTTTCAAACAATCCATTAAGCTGGCCATGCACCGATAGATTATCTGCAGATTTTCTATTGTCAGATGGGAAACGTGCAACAGATTCCTCCATCTACACCAGCGGTTCTCAACCTGTGGGTCGGGACCCCTTCGGGGGTCGAATGACAATTTGCCAGGGGTCGCCGGGAGTCTCCCGCTATTAGATAGCGGCTCCCGGGCGCCGGTGAGAGAAACACTTTCTCCCGGAAAGTGCTCTGCTTGGAATGCATTGCTAGATTCCTATTGGCTATTTCACTTTAAACTGTGTGGATGGAGGAATCTCCCACTGGGCCAAGCTTCAGTATCTTGCTAGTCGGCTCCGCTGGCTCTCAGAATACCAGAATAATATGATTGGATGCAGGCAATGTTCAGGTATTTTGAGAGCCAGCGGGGCCGACTAGCAAGATACCGAAGCTTGGCCCAGGGGGAGATTCCTCCATCCACACAGTTTAGCGTAGATGGAGGATTCTGTTGCACTTTTTCCATCTGACCATAGAAAGTCTGCAGAGATCCTATAGGCGTATGGCCAGCTTAAGTCTACGTTTACACTCCTGTGTTATAGGTGAAGTGCATTTTATATGCATTACCTGTCATCCATATAGGAGGTGCGTTTTGCTGGAAACCTCACCAAAGTGAGGTAATGATGTAGCAAGCAGGTTTTTTTTTGTTTCTTGTTCAACATTTTCATTAGAATTTACAAATTACAATAACACAAATAAAACCCCCAAAAATAAGATAACATGAGAGATTCCAAGGTCAGCTGAAAGATGTAGACGTGGTACCAGGTGCAACTGGACTGTATATAATATCATAGAAAATCAAGAGGTTACTATAAGGCATGTCTTGTGTCTGGCCACTTAGAATGCAGGTTTTTTCTGAACACACTGCACCAGAATACACAGGTATGAATATCTCCCTAGGAGTTACAATTATCAAAATGATTTAAACATATTGAGGGCAATTTATCAATACTGGAGCAGACAGAATCTGGAGCAGCTGTGCATGGCAACCAATCAGCTTCTATCTTTCATTTTCAAACCTTAACTGAGCAAACTGAAGAGAGAAGCTGATTGGTTGCCATGGGCAACTGCTCCAGATTCTTCTGCTCCAGTTTTGATAAATTCCCCCCCTTGTATTTCTGTTTCACACATCAATTGTTTAGTCATTTCAAAATTTTTAAGATGAATTTGCAATAAACAGGTTGGACAAATAGCAAACAATTGTTTTATATGTGCCCCAGTCACACCACAACGCTTGTAGGAAGAGCGGTAACATGCTCATTCTGGTTCCCATGCTCATCTCAATGCTTATCCTCATTCCCTGGTGTACATGTATGGCTGAATGAGAACCGGTGAGCTATTCCAGTCTGCATATAGGTAGATACATTGTAATGAAGTATATTGTGTGCACTGGTATAAGAATTTTTTTAGAGAGCTACCTTGTGTGCTTAATTTGGTTTTGGGTGTGAGTGACAAGTGCTAGAAAGAAAATGGCGCAATACAGGAACCTATATGCCTCTGCTTTCTTGAGGTCCAGGGTCACTTTGGGGTCTGTGTAGTAACTGGACATTGGCTCTCTCAGAAAGCAGAGTGGATTGGAATGATGAAAAGTGAAAGCCTCAGGTATACAGGGAAGGGTACATTAATTAGGACTACATATGGTTACCTTAGTGGGAAGCAGTGTCTACATAGCTTGTAGGCTTGCCTTGCAGCACTGTGCCCCTGTGTTCACTTACCCCAAGGAACACTGTCTACATACAGTAGATTAACCACTTCAGCACCAGAACAATTTGGCCAATTGGTGTGAATGGGGCACATAGAGTATAAAACAACTGTCTTCTATGTGCTGTAGCAGTGACCTGCGTTTTTCTGTGTGTATGTAGCTTAAGGTTGGTTTCACACCCAGGCGACAGCACGTTTATGTGAGTTTTAATGCGCATATGTCAAAATGCGTGTTTTTATGAGCAGATTGTAGCTCATTGATGTTAATGAGCAAACATGCATAAAAACGTGCAAAAACACAGCAAACGTGCGTTTTCAAGTGTTTCCTATTGAGTCTATGAGGCCAAAACAAGCTTTACTATGCCAAAAAAATGCTCATGTACTTTTTCCAGCGACAGGCATTTTGCGTATTGCAACAAAACGCTCAGATGTGAACAGGGCCATAGAAATGAATGGGATTTTTTGGGGGGCATATTTTTTGAGCGTTTTTTACGGCAGAAAGAGCAATACGAAATGTTCAGTGTGATCAATGCCAGCACATGCTGCGGACGTGAAACTCTAACCTTTATAAAGTTAAATTGACTGATCACTTCATCTGGCTGTTGCGGGAAACATTCAGCCAGGAACTGTCTCTTGCTCACAGACTGGAATCTAAACTGTCAGGCTGATGGCAGGTCTCAGCAGGGTCACAAACCAGAGCGCATACACCAGGAGGGCAGATGGTTTTAAATGCCCTAGAGGCTGCATTGACGTCCTTCAGGATGTTTATAAAGTATAAGGTTTCGAGTTGCTTTAAAGGAGAACTATGGGGTTAAGGCTTTTCCGCATAGTTCTCCTTAGGGTAACGGGAGGACACAAACTGGCGTCCTCCCGTCACCCTAAGCTCAGTATACTGAGACGCCACAGCTGAAGCGGATCCCGACAATTATGTCTGGATCCGCCCAGCTGCGTGAGTGACAGCTGGCTCTGCCTATCTAGAGGCAGAGCCAGCTGTACCCTCCCTCGTCCGTTCCGCCAGTCAGTGCTGGCGGATCGGAGCGGGGAGGGGGCAATCCAGCCCCTCCCCCTGTCACGGCAGAGAGCTGTGACAGGATCGAGAGGTGAGCGAACGCCGGTATGTGTTCACTCACCTCCCGATCTACTGAGCCGACCTGTGACAGTCTCATTGTCACAGGTCGGCTAGAACTATGAGGTGAGTGAAAAGCACTCACCTCATAGTTCTCCTTTAAGCCGACTTGGTGTCTAGATAACAATGACAGATTGGATTGTAAGCTGCTCTAGTGCAGGGGCTGATGTAAGTGTTCCTGTGTGCTCTAAAAAGTGTTGTGGAAATGAATAGTATACAAAAAACATTTAAGTGATGATACACTCAGGAGTTAAATCTCAAAGAATGCATTCAAGTACCTTTTACTATTAACAAAAATGTATCTTATTTGTGTATCACTCGGCTGCAGATCCTCCAATCATCTCTGAATTGTCAATTGTCACATGACAGATGTGTGGTTTTTGCCAGGTTCAGAGTATCTTGCGGTAGTGACATCAGGAGGGTGTACAGGTCCAGCCGTCCAGTCAGTAGCCATGTTTGATATCACTCCCCTAGGATGCATTTTATGGCCAAGACCAAGTGACCAATGCCCCATCATAGGTCAGGTGACCCAGTATTGCTCTAAATTCACAATTATTTCATTTATTAAAGGAGAGCTATGAGGTGAGTGATTTACACTCATCCTCATAGTTAGAGCCGACTTGTAAAAATGAAACTGTCACACGTCGGCTGTATTGATCGGGAAGTGAGCAAACACATACCCTTGCTCGCTCATTTCCCGATCATCTCCCTGCAGAGAGCAGTGACTGTCATTCACCGCTCCCCGCAGGGATTCCCCCATCCCCTCTCTGATCCTCTAGATAGGCAGAGCCCGCTGTCAATCAGCCAGCTGGGTGGATCTCAAAAGTAATGTCGGGATCCGTCCCGGCTGCGTCGCTCTCAGTATATAGCAGGGGAGGTCAGTATATGTCCTCCCGTGACCCTAAAGAGAACTATGGAATAAAAAGGTTACCCCATAGTTCTCTTTTAAAGCAAACCATTCTGCACTTTACTTGTAGATTTTCAAATAATGTCTAAATGTGGATATGTTTGAGTATAGATCTGCTTTATGACATTGTAATATATGGTACAACACAACCCTGCAAAAGTAACTTCCTCCTTTGTTCAATACAAGCCTAGAATTTCCATTCCTCTTATGTAGATTCAATGGAAGGTTTTCCCAGTCATCCTATAACTGTTTTGATCTTGGAAGGTCTCCATCGTCAGATGTGCTGAAAATTGTCTGCGGGCCCAATTTATAAACACTTCACAGAAAGGACATAGAAGAGTTGCTGTGAATCTTTTCCCGTTCCCTCCCCTCTGGGGCATTTTGCCCTGCCTGCAGCTTCCATCAGTTATTTGATGTTGCATTTAGAAAGAAAACAATCATAAAAGTGTTTGTCCCTATGGCAGATCTAGTTTGAAATCCTGCCCGCAGTGCTATTAG